AGTAGTGCGCCCATCCCGCCTCAGGCGGCCGATAGCTAGGCGGTGGCCTGTTGCTGGCGGTGATGGAGAGAGTGAGGTCGACCCTTGGACGCCGCTGTCAGTCCAGTGTGTCTTGTTGTGTGGTGTGGCTGCCTACAGGCTGAGAGCCAGATGTGGCCTATATGGAGATTGTATTCTTGCCTGGGGTTCGGAGACTTTTTTGAATTCGTTATCACGACAAATCTCCGGGGTCATCCATTTAAACTGCGCGTTCAGCAGGCAAGACTAAATATGCGCAAGCTCTTCTTCCCTGTCGGAGTGGTCAAACAATGGAATGCCTCCCACAGATGTTGTGATGCCATCATCGCCGAAATGCTTCAGAAGAAACCTTGAAAGATATTTGTTTGAAAATGGGTCAGAGTCATGAGGGATTTAGCTTCACGCCTGAAACTTGCACCAAATGTCATATTTTATAGTTCCGTTTGAACTTTTCCAAGCCACGTGGTTTCTCTGTACAACGCACTCAGATTTATCTTGCATATAGAGTATTCAAAGGCCCATGCTTATTTCCTTCAATAAACTGAACTTGACTGAAAATCAGTGCAATGACTTGCTAAATAAAATAGTCATGACACTTAAAGACACATTTTTCAAGAAGAGGATTGGTTCCAATTAGAAGCTCTGGTTGGATTATTTAATAAAACGCAAGTTATTATGTCAAGGGTCTTCTGGTTTTAACACTACGGAGTACGCTCCATTCGGGCTACTGAATCAACGCATGGGTTTCTAAGTTCCTGAACATTCGATTATTGTTTATTACAGTATCCTCGTGGGCGCCCTGTTTAGCTTGCCTGATCGTGCTGTCTTCGTTGAAATGAATGCCCTGCGAACTCTTACTTCTCGATGCATCTTCAACCGCCTTCCACTAGCTCCTGTAAGGTAAGAAATAAATCTTCTTACTTCGAACCACACAGCTCACGAATATTCGGTTTCAGCACAGAGTCGGCTCAGACCAGTGACAAAAAACCCGAAGAGCCAGTTCCGCCAAAACCTGACACGGAAACACTTTCAGCTGACTTCAAAAAAGTCCTTGAGGCAAAAAATGAATTCGAGGATAAATATAAGAGGGCGCTTGCTGAATCGGAGAATGTACGTAAACGCATGTTACGCCAGGTTGAGGAGGCAAAGCTCTTTGGAATTCAGTCGTTTTGCAAGGATTTGTTGGAAGTCGCGGATATATTAGCCAAAGCCACAGAAAGCGCTCCGGAGGACCAGCTTAAGCCTAACGTAAATCCGCATTTTGTCAATCTTCATGAGGGTTTAAAAATGACTAACGCACAGTTGCTAAAGGTTAGTTCGTGCGTGTTAACGCCTCTGTTCACAAAAACGTTTGATCTTGCAACCTTTATATTTACTACTTTTTATTAAACCACCGAAATGTACTGACACGATAAACCCGGGTACGCTATTTTGTTGTAAAATTTTGCGTTCGCGTGTCGCTCTTGACCAAATTTTGGCAGTCAGCTATAACTTTACATGCTAATGTGCGATTCTACGTTTGCTATAGGCGTTTGCTAACTACCTGTGTGGTATCTGTGCCCTGTCATGGATCGATTATCGCTGTGCAACCGTAACTGTATGTCTTCCTACTAACCAGAGCCTTCTAGTTGTGTCGTGCGTTGCAACCCGACTAGCTCGTATTCGCTCTTGCTAGCAGTATTCCCCTCCACCGTCCCCGCTTACACGTAGAAATCTTTTGCGAACGATGGTTAGCCGCGGTTGAGATTACTAGTGACATTCCCTCTTCCTGAAACTTTCAAGTCATTAAGGGGTTTACCTTAGGACAACCATTTTTGTCAGTTAAAATGTCAGCCTGCAAGACATTAATCGTTCTCTTGACAAAAACACGAGTGAGTCAAATTTTCCGTCCGGCGTTCGACTGCCCCGCGGGACACTTTTTGCTAAGATCGTATGAACAATTTCCTTAAAGAAAATTACAACACATATCACATTACATTTCCTTGCCTTCAGGCTACCTCAAAATGTTTAGTTTTCTTCCAAATTCACATTTTACTTAGATCTAGGCTTTGGGAAACGATTCATCTCCGCGATGCTTTTTAAACGAACGTGTCCATTTACAAGTCACGGGTGCTGTTTAGTTTCTAGGCTGTTTCTGCTGTTTTCACCGTGCATATGCTTTCGGACAAAGAACACGTGCCTTTGTCATTGTTTAATCTCTAGTTTACCCTTCGAGCCGCCGCGACAGTAACTATCTTTTGTTAAAAATAGTCCTACTTTTTCATGCATACTGGCTATATCTCCTGTCATGCATTCTATCTACTTCAGGTATTTATTCACAACCAG